AAACAGTTATTTAGAAGAACAGAGCCTGCTGGCTTCTCCTGCGGTATAATACGTTGTGTATATCATATACCATGTGTATCTATTTCAATGGTCTCTTCCGTCTTTCTAGTGACGCCAGGGTTGCTATGGAAATGTGCATCATTGATAAAAGCATCAAGACGTCTTATAAAAACTACAGACGACGAAGGTRTTTTGCTTGGTCCGTGCTCGAGAATGCTGAGAGTAAGCAATGCTTGTTGTTCGTAAAACACCCTGAATAAATGGCTCAGCTTTTATTTTGTCAAATCCATAACGTATCTCGTTTTAAAGGAAAAGGTAAAGTGGAAGTTGGTTAAGGGGCTTCCTACCCAATCTCGTACCCAGAGACCGCACTTTTGCCATCCAGCGGATGTCAATGCATAAGAGACCGGGGGGAATGCGTTATTGCGCATTGTTTTCAAGTTGTTTTTTCAAGTCGCCAGCGCGCGCTCGGTTCATTTAGTCAAGAAAATCAGTCGTACTTTTCACGCAAAAACACACATGTTTTCACACATTTTTGTTTTTAAAAAGGTGTAACTACAGTTCCTAAACTAAATAGTGTGCTAAACCTTTTTCGTTTTTATCGTTTTAATACTCTAAAACGCAATTTACCTAATGAGCGTAACTTGCGATAAAAAGCGTCGAAAATAAAGTGGATTCCTCCAGAGTCTTTCCGGCGTCAGCATACCGGCCGCTGACATTACCGGTAGTCGGRAATGGGCTCAAGATTGCTTCTTACCTGATCTGACTCGTGCTTATTCTTCTCTCGACTTCTTGATCTTCGTCTCCTTTCTCTGCTGCGACTTCTGTGTGTAACTTCACATGACGTATCGCTGGAGAAACCACGTGATCTGTCAGTTGATCGCTGGCGCTCTTCGCGACGGTAGCGGTCAACACCATCAAGTCGGTCTATAACTTTCTTCATATCCTTCTCCATAGAATAATATCTTTTTCCTGACTCGTACTCACGCCAAACTTTATCAAGTTCAATTTTTTTATGTTCATCGCTGTGTTTTTTCTCGTGTCCCTTCACCTGTTTATGTTCGTTATGTGTGTGTTTTTCGTGATGTTTTCGTAAATGTTTCTCGGGTTTCTCCTCGTGTTGGTTAGAATGGCGGTGTTTGTGGCTGTGTTTATGACGTTGTTTTTCATCGTATTTATCGGGGTTTCTATGTTGATTGTGCTCTCTTTCTTCGCGCTCTTTTCCAAACCAAGGTTGACTATCGTCAGTAGTTTCGCCGCCATGTTTTTGTTTATCTGTTTTTGARTTATGRTTATGCTTGTGGTCTTTTCTTTGTTTTTCGTCGTGTTTTGATCGTTCATGTTTACCGTCATGATGRGATTCTTTGCTTCGTCTTTCCTTCGATCTGRTTTTGCTGTCAGACCGCTCACCTCGTTCTTTATGATCTCGACTTCGCGATTTTGAGTGATGTTTTTTATCTTTCTCTTCTTTTTTTCGTTCTTCTCTCGTTTTATCAGAATGTCCCTTTTTGTCCCTCTTTTTTCMTCTTTCTTCTTTGTTGACTTGTGTCTCTTCGGCCTCACRTTTCTCCCACAGTTCCTTCGCTCGTTTCCAAGCCATGRCGTCTGGTGGTAAAGAATCGACTGGTTCGACGGCAGCTTGTAGTGGCAGGAGTTCGAGCGGTTCGACACGTGATTGATGTGGTAAAACGGTTGGAGGAGTTTCCAAATGTTGTACTGGAACTTCTTCGTCTTGAGAGTCGCTTTCTTGTTCACCTAATTGTTGAAGTGCAGGTGACAGTAAGTCATTTTCGTTGTTATTGTTTGCTAAATCATCTTTTCCAACGACATTTGATAAGTGGGGATTAACCGGATTGTTCGATTGACTATCTGTGAGTGATTTCTCAATATTTTGATCCTGTGATGAATAAGAAAGTAKGTTATCCGCTAGAATGTCTGGATGATCTTTTACAGCACCATTTGTKGCCACTTGCTGCAGTTCTTTGTCGTCTTTGTGACCTGTCTTTTTTCTTCTTAAAAAGGAACGTTGTGTTTTCGAATTTSTCTGTAAGTCTTGATCGCTCGCGCTACGGAATAGGCCAAGAAACTTTCTCTTGTGTTTGTCGTTTTTTTCTTGAGGTTTTTGATGAAGGTCATCTTTACTTTGAGAACTAAAAGAAAACATTTTTAATTAGTGATATTYATATCATTGATTGATAGACTTGTAGAGGCTTTGCTCAGTTCAGTATCGCTGGTAGCCTCTAGTTTACTGGTAAAGACGTGAATTGAGTATGATGTTTGATGTTGGCTTGTTACAGGGATTGTTTTGGCTGCTTAGAAGTGGACTAGTGGATGCAAGAGCGGATCCCGGGATAGTGATTAGGGTGACTGGCTACCCCATTTTTAGGGTTCAAAAACATAGAAATAGAAAGTATGATTTAAACGACTAAAATATAAATCAATAAATCAAATATGAATGGAACCCATTCTGAAAAACAACTAAAGCAGGACATTATAGATCCGTGATGTTTGGCAAAAAACGTATACATCACCCTTTAAACATCTGATGTGTTCCCACATTAATTGTCTATGATTTAGTACCATTCGAGTATATATCTATGAGTGGTTTGAATCATGCAATGGAAAAGTCATGAAAGGTGAGCTCTCATAGTATCATTAG